TACTTAAGAACGAGTTCTTGTTTAGCTGAGTTCAGGTAAATAACCGTTTGTTCACAGATACACACAATGTCATAAACAGATTTTGTAATGATGCATATCCTTAGCCTCTTTTGACTAGTGAATGTCAGTTAATGAGTGTTTTAGTACCTGTGTCCCTGATGAAAGCCAACGTATTAACAGCTTTTTCTTTTTCTTTTTAATTAAGTTCCTTGATCTGTGCTCTTCTTTCTGAATAGGTAGGAAGTTGTGGGGTATGAAAAGGATTAGACACTCTAAAGGAGATAAAGGTCAAATAAAAGTTGAATGTTTTGTATTTCTTCATCCTAAAGATGGTTATTCCTGATGTATCTATCTTTATATCTTTCTTTTTCTTTTTCTTTTTTTGAGAAAGGTAGAGAAGGGCAAATCCTTAAATCCCTGGCTTGAGACTGGCTTGCCTGAAAAAAGCTGGGCAGACAGGCCCCACTGTCAGGGAGAGCCCCCAGCTCCTTCCATTCAGACAGTGAGCTGTTCTGGAGAGGTATGATGAGCGATGACGACTGGCAATAGTGGCTTCTCGGCTAGTATTGGAAAAGTGAGCTCCAGTCCCTGAGCCCAATTCTGCCAAACAGGCCGTGAGTGCCCACTGATGTGAAAGACTTCTCTTCACCTCACACTCTGCAGGGGCCATGTGACCAGGAACTGCACCCAAGTTCTCAATTCTTTTAGCAAATGAGTCCTAAGCCTTATTTTTATGGTTTGCTTTGTCACTTCGGACATTTTCATCATCCTCAAATCGACACTTAGGTATGGGTTATACAAAAAACTATTGTGAGAACAAATGCTCTGAGCTTCTCCAGGAAGCCTCCTGCACGGTCTGCGTGTCTATATCCACAATATCACCGTGTTTCTTCCTGCCTTCCCCATTGGGCCCATGTTCCTTGATGGTGGCAGGGAGCCAGCAGTTGTGGTGATGGTGGTGGTGGGGGAGGGCTGCCTGGCCCTGCAGCCGGTATGCAGGGCGTTGGCTACAGCACTGACGTGCATTACTGTATTCAAAACTGACAGGCGCAGTCACATCCTTGGCTGAGATTGAAGGTTGAGGTCACCAGTACAAGAACTGAGCCCAGTGCTAAATGAGGCTTTGAAGCAACAGGAACATGTCCTTGGCCCTCAGTAGGGGATGAGGGCTCCCCCCACCAAAGCACAAGGTGATCTGGAAGAACTCAATTTACACCCTTGGCTCCCGTGGGCTGGGGGATCAGCAGAGGGCGGGATAATCTCAGCTTCTCGAGCAGATGGTTTCTGACTACCGCTTGACCCAGTTCCCTCCCAGCAGATGACCGGCAGCGGGGCTGACAGCTCCTCCATCAGGGGAGCAAAATGTGGACCCTCCTCTCAACCTCCTCTTCCCTCCTCCTACCAGCATGGACGCAGTGGCTTTTGCCTCTCCCCAACGCCAGATCAATGGGGCAGGATGCTCCCAAAGGCGAGGAGCCCTTCTCCCTTCTGCAGCCCTGTCTAGCCCAGGTGGGACTCATAGTAGGAAGTGTTGTAACTAGGCAAGCAAAGAATGCCACTTGAGGGCCTGTGCTGGGGAGTGGGAGGAGGGGAGGTAAATCTTTCACTGGTTTAATGACTTCTCTTATTCATTCAATCAACACGCTACGTATTCTGTTCAATAGCTCCCCAGATCATCTGCCAGTTCTGGTGGGGCCCAAGAGGCCTGGTCGCTGTCCTCCAGGAGCCTGAGGCCCCACATAGGAGACAGGCAGGTGAGGAGATAACAGCCAGGCCCTCGGCTGAGGGGCCTAATCTGGCAAATAACTATTCAGGGCACAAGAAGGCTATGGCAGGTTTCACCATGGAGGAGAGATTGGGCTGAGTCTTGAAGACTGAGAATTTGTCAAGTGGCTGATGGCTAGCTAGGGTGATGGAGAGGCAAAGGACCAGAGCGTGTGTGCCTGGTGGAAGAGGCAAGCAAAACCACAGAGGTGGGTCCAGCCTGGCTCAGGGCCATTGGGCAGGTGCTGGCCTGGACAGAAGCACCTACTTCCTGCCCAGGGATCACAGGCTCTGGGGACAGGGCAAGGGGTGGAAACCCAAGAGCACAGAGTGCTATGTGTTTGGGAGTAGCAGAGAACTGGGCTCTAGAGAAAGCATTAAGGAGGCAGAAGGGCTGCCATCCCCGGTACCCTCCTGAGCCCTTGCTTCATTCAGCCTTTGGGTTGGTAAACCCAGACCAGCCCCGTTTTGTCCCTGTGGGATCGGTAGGGCATCTTGGGGTCGCTTGGGCACCTTGGGGTCGGTTCCTCTGATTGGGAGGGAGGGGGCGCTCGGTCTCCAGATTTGCGGGCCTCGGTTGGGGCTGTGGTTCCGGCTGAGCTCCACAGCAGCGAGGCTGGCCTGAGAAGCTCGCAGTGGGGGTTGGGAGGTGGGGACTTAGGGAGGCTACGCTCCACCTCGGTTGTCCTAGGACCCCCAATATCATAGGAAAGCCTGGATGGCCTCCCACTCCGCTACCGCCTCAAAGTCCCACCTGTTACGGGGAGCGGCCAAGGTGGGTGGGTGGGTGGAGGGGTCCTGACGAGGGAGGGGAGCGGGCAGGGCCCTGTTCCCGGCCAGGCTGCGGCGCCCTGTGAGCATTGTTGTGTTGCTCCACACCCAGGTGGGGGCGTAAGGAGGGACAGAAGGAATGTATTGCACCTGGGGGTCTGGACGGGGCTGGAAGATCGGTTTCCATTGACAGAGCCTCTTGTCTGGCGGCGCAAGAACGGCAGCCTTGGAATTAGAGTTGATTGGGTTCTTCGAGGAGCTTGGCCCCATTTCCTCCTTTGGGGCTCCCAAACAGCTTGTGGGATAGTGTTATTGTTCCCTCTTTACAGCTGAGGAGGTAGAGACTAGAGGGTGAAGGCTGTACCCAAGGTCAATCCTACAAAGCCGGCAGTGGGTGAGCCTCGATTGGAGCCCGGGTTTGTCTGAGGCCAAGGTTTGCCATTTGGGGGTTGGGTGGTGGTGGTGCTGGATCCCCACACAATCGAGGAGTTCCTCGGGTCTCAGAGCCGACGAAGGCAGCGGCTAGCCAGGTTTCCAGAAGCCGCCGCTTCCCCCGCCCCTCCAGCCTGCAGGGCCCCCACCTCGCTCAGTGCGCCGGCGGCCCGGGGCGCTTGGCTAGGGCACTGCACTGCAGCCCGGGAGCGACATCCACTGGCGGAGCCAGCCGGCGGCCGGGATCCCGCA